TCTAAGTAGGATGGTCAATGGGGGAGGGGAAGGTTATGATCAAATCATACACAAGATGGTTCGACAAAGCTTATTTTCTGGTTGTTAAAACCATATATGTATACAGTATATAGGTTAGGAAGTACAGTATTAGATAGGCTTGGTTAGATTAGGCTGGTTTTAGAGATTGTTGAACACACATCTTGTTTGCGACGTGACTTGTATCCAACACTGCTCTACTCTTTTTTTTTTTTTTTTACCATTCCAGATTACAGTATTCTTCAACCCTTATTCCGCTCCAGTCGCTATTTGAGATTTCCTCCCATGCACAAATCGCCACATGTGATTGATCCTGAAGTGTCTTCAAATGTTTGCTTTTGTATGCACCACAGTGCAGGACTTTTAATTAAATAGGTGAGCAGTTATAGGATTAAACCTTATTGTACATATAAATATTCTTTATTTGATTTAACTAAATTTTGTGCAATACAGTATATTTGACTTGCAAAGTCTAGTAATTCTAGAGACCCATACTCTAGACTTGACCAAAGTAATCACATGGCCCCACTTCACTGGGAACACACACACACTCGGAACAGATCGGGGCATATTGTAGAAGAGGGAGGATTAAAAATATTTGATGCCAATTCTTTTATAATAAATCTTGCTCATTCTTTTATAATGGGAACTTGCACAACCACATGTTGGCAAACAATCCTCATCAATCTTAGGGGGCGTTAAATACAGTAATGTACTATAAAGGTATCCCTTGTTATCGCACCATAGTTTAACAAGTTAATGTACAGGTGAATCACGTTTAACCTAATTTTGTTTATACGTTACTTGGATTTTTTTTTTATCAACTTACGGCATCACGGGCAAAGTCCTGTATTGTTCGCCAATGTAGGAAAGAAATTGGTGTGGAAAACCTATGGTACTTGTAAAAAAACAAAATACTATACTATATATTATGGTTAACTTCAATACTATTGATGAACCTTTTTTCCTAATTTCAGAAAGTTAGTTTTTGGGTTCACTTAAAGTACTTTCAGCAGCAATTTTCAGAACCTAACACTGATGTTAGAGATATATCTGTACTGTACATGAATCAATATTCAGTATATATATATTAGGGAACGAATTGGACACAAAATACACTTGCATTTAGGAGAATTTAATGTCTAAAATTTAACAAATTGGTTATGACAAAATTAATTTAGGGTTTGTCATTTGTTTAATAATGAGCTGGGTTCTAGTTATTTATAGTTCATGATCAATTTATTTTCATTTGGTCCATCATATTGATCATATTTGGTACTATGCTGTCGAAGATTTCACCCTCTTTTTTCAACATTATTACTTTGGTGAAATTAAATAGATGTATAAAATTTTAACCCCTTTAGGTTCAAGTAACTGAAGTGCAACTAAAAATTACATTGTAAGAAAAATTCAAATCATTAAGTACAGAAGAATATTTGTATACAACTTTGATTAGTGTACAGTGCTGTTACTGTATTTAACTAAAATTGTATATTTTTTGTTGAAAAAGTTTGTTCACTATTAGTGTAAATTTAATAATGGGCACCAAATTTTCTCGTAGAAATGCCTGCCAATACATAATGGGAATATTGTAAAGAAAAAAATAGTGCTTTACAGTTAACTTTTCACGAATGATGCTTATTTCCACATATCGAGGAATATCTGCACTCTTAAAACATTCTACTGCTGCACATATTTTTGTAAATATATAAATCTCAGTTGAACAACATAAAGATACACGTTTCTAATATATTATTGTATAAGGCATTTCTAAAGTCAACTAAAGGTTTAATCCTTTTTTCTTTATTTTTATTATAAATAAATTACTTTATTTATCCATGGTAATTGTGGAATTTTATGAATGTACAGTAAATGATAATTAAACTTTAACACTCAAATCTGGTGCGCTGTATTAAATGATGGATATGCACAAATAATTTGCATTCAATATACTGTACTGGTAAAAATTAATGACTAGATTATATTGTATAACATATAATGAACACAGTAGAGCTCGTCTGAATGTAATATTAAAATACTATAGCAACATACATAGTATAAATGGGACTACTAATATATTTGTATATGTAAATTCATCTAATTATTTTCTAAATTACATCTCAAACAATACTGGAAAAAATTGCATAGTGAAATGCCAATGCCTTTAAATTACCTCTACAATTTTCAAACCCAAAATATCAAATGGCATCTATTTAACCCTTAGACCGTGTATATTACTGCAAATTTAGGAGGCATAGTCAAAAAATATTAGAAATACCTGTATGTAAAAATAACTTAAAAATTATTAACAAATCTCCAACTTATTGGCTCCAGTGTCGTGAAACTCTCATAAAAATATTTTCAGAAGTTGATTTTAGACGAATTTTTGAAAAATAACAATGTTTTATTGATAAGAACAGCGGCTCCTAATAACTGTAACTGAAGAATTATGCAGTAATAAAGAAATGCAAGCACCTGTCCTATGCTCAAAGAACAGTAGTAGTAAGAAGTGTCCAAAGTGGATATACAGTTGGTGCCTTTATATCATTGCCAAGTAATACATAATACTGTAACACAAAACATAATTAATAACTATGTTAATATGATCATTTTGTTATATATCATATAAATACATTGTCCAATGTTAATATGTTACTTTCATCAATGTCCCAATTTTTTTTAAGATTTAATTTCTTTTCTCCTTTGTTTATTATCTGATTTTGTTTTAACTTTTACATCCTGGAGAATGCACATGTTTACATAACTATGTGAAGATAGAATGAAATTGGTCAACAAATAAGTCAGTCACAACTAGCAAACTTGGGACTCTTAAAATTTGTTACTAAAAACTATATTTTCTTTCTCTCTTTAGGTTGTTTTGATGATTGGAGACCATGTTAGGGGTTTTTCACTTATATAAAGTATACTCTAAATATATCCCCTAAATCATTAAATTTATTATCCCTATACAGTATTTTATTTTTTGGGGGGTTATTTTTTCTTGACTTCATTTCAACATATATTGACCTACAACTTTCACATATTAAGAGTACGAATGTCAAACAATATTTATTAAAACGTACAATTAAATTAACGAATTAAAACTATTCATTCATTGTTGATAACTTCAACTTCAATTATCTCTGAAACCAGAGTTTCAACTTTGAGTGGCTTCTAAAATTCCAGTTCTTAACCAATTCTCACTATTTTGACATTGTGTGCTCGGCTGTGTTACGGTGCCCTCTCCTATTTCTTCCGTTTGCCGGCTTAAAGAGTCATATCAGCTCTCCCTACTGATTCTCTGAGGTTCAGGGAGTCTAATGATATATGTGGCGACCAGACCGGCTGCCAGTTAAGGCATGGAGGTTATATTATAAGTTGTAAATAAAGGAAAATTGGCGCCCTGTTATAAATGAAACAGTATCCCCTACGGCAGATGTGACCTTGTGGAAGGGACACTATGCCGATCGCGGATTGGCCGACGTAGGTCGCGGGCGACAAATCAGGGCCCGCCATGACGTCACCGAGTGCCCCGGGCGGCGCCAACGTCAGAGTTGTACTGACCGTGGAAGCGACAGGACGCGCCTCGGTCTGCTCTCAAGAATTGGAGGCTCTGCAAGCCTTGTCCAGTGGATTGAGCTGACCATCGCCGCCAACATAGTTATTGGAGACCCTGCGCTTCTGGGAAGCCAAAGAGGAACCAAGTTCAGTGAGCAGAGAAGTGCCCAAACTTGGAAAATAGTCGGCGACGACGCTGGGCGGCGCCGCTGGCTGGACGTTGAGGTCTGGAAGGTGGGCGAGCAAGCTAGCTGTGACTGGGGTCACATCCACTGAGAATCTTGGAAGGACGACACAGTGCCTAGGACAAGGAGCGACGCCCTGTGGGAGAGGCGAGTGTGGGGAAAAATAGTGATTAGCTCAGCGCCCATCGATGAACCAGGATTGGGGCAGCTGAACCTCAGGGATTGGAACGGCGACGACGCGAAGGCTTCACGACACCTGAGGACCTGTGGAACGCCCTGGATCGTCGAGGATCGACCCAAGGAAGCGTGGGACCATCACACCATCGAGGGACAGGCGTCGTGAGCCAGGAGTGTAAGGTAGATCATTTTTCCCTCCCATTACCCCTTGTATGAGTAGGCTAGTTAGGCCACAATATTTACTTGTGTATGTGGCAGCAAGACTTTATTGCTTTAATGGTAGAATAGGCTGCAATGCAGCTTGTGTCCAGGACTGTCAGAGAGGACAGTGTGTATGGATGGCAGGACAGTGAAGAAGAGGTGCCGACGTGGTGAAGAGGCCCTCCTGTGAGAGTGTGAGACTCCTGTCTTCCTGCCCAGTTGAAGGAGAGTTGGAGGTCGTGGAAGAAGAGGCTGACGATCTCCAGACTCATCATCCATATTCCATATTCATGTATTACTTGTGATTGTGTGTGTGTGTTCATGTAATTTGCGTCAGTAAATCCACACATTTTATTACTGTGTTTGAGTGTGCCTCCATTTGTGATATTTCTCTACGAGCATACATTTCTGGCTACAAACGATATATGATACACCCACTGAACTGCATTGCTGGGGTGCAGATATAATAACCCAGCTGGCGACCTTGCTAAGAGGAAGATAGAGAAGACAGGCGGGAAAGGAGTTCCTGCAACCTTTTTTTTTGTCTGGCAGGCAAGACTCAGAGAGGCTATGGTTATAGGTAAGCCTGAGTCTTCCTTCACTCCCCCACGGGTCTAGGCCGGAACTGTTAACAGCAGTTTCCCCGTGGTTGACTGAAGGGCTTCCAGGGTGAATCAGTGGCACCCCTTTGTGGTGGAAGCAAAGACCTGCGGAGGTGGGCATTGTTGGTCCTATCTTGTGTGACCAAGGAGACTCCGGTGAATCCAGGGAGTCGGAGGGGCTGAGTATTTGGGCCCTTTGAGCCCCTAGCAGCCGAGTGTTAGCAGAGCCCCGGACCGCCCACCCCCACGTGACAGCTGTCTGTTCTACAATCCCATCATAATGGATTTTTCATAAACTTTATACATTTGGAGTTAACTTTTTTTGGTTTAAATTTGCAGCATACATGTATTTCAAAGGTCCTATTGACGATTTATTTTACTGTAAACTATACTAAAAACCTATATTTTAATTTAATGCAAATCATATGCTATTCTGAGAGAATAATATTAAATCAACAGTTAATGATGGTTCATATTTTTTATTCTGAATTGAAAATCTGAAGTTTTCAATATTCAATTTTAAAATTAATTTTGATTCTCTGGTTTTTCAAGTTACACTGTGATCATTTAGACAAAAGTTGGAGCATTTGCCTAGTTTATTATGCAAATAAAATTGGAAAGTGTTTATGCAAGTTTTAAAAACTTACCTTAAATTATTGTCAAATCATGTATGTATTGTGTGGTCTAAGGGTTAAACTCTAAGAAAGCGGAGCAACTCGATTATACATCATTCTCGAGAATTGTCACACACACGATACCTATAGAGTATATATTATTCAGGGTATTAAACCAAAATAGAATAAATACCACTGCCTAGAACACCTAATCACTATTTATAAAATCTCTGTAAATATTAATTCTTAAGCTCCTTAACCAACTGCACAAAATCCACAGTAAGCCATATTCCCTTCATAGAAAGTTTGAATCCACTCGTATTAAAGAAGACTATCCCTATTGTTCATTGCTTGATGAAGACTCATCTTCAGGCACTTTCACATAACTTTGGTGCATGCATTGACAACACACTCATTGTGCTATATTATCCCCCCCCTCCCCCCCTAGCCACACATTGTGCTTGACATGGGCATAGCATTCTCAAGTTAGGCATTGTTTCATGCTGTAACACTGAATACAAGTTTTAAGTAGATGGCCAACTTGGTCAAAAAATGCACACTGAAGAAGCGATTCCTGAAGTATTGGTAGGTAAATGGGGTCCGAGTGCGCGCGCACATAACAATCCAAGTTCTGATTGTTCATATGAAGTCAATATCAAAACTGTTGATGACAAATTTCAAATGCATTATGGGCAAAATTTCAGGAAATCACACTTAAGTCACTCTCATTCTCACCATCTTCGACAAGTCGATATTCTTCCCTCTTTCAAGAATTGTTGGATCTCCTGCTTCGGCAGCTTCTCTTTGCTTCTGTATTTGATACAACTGAATAGATTTCTCCCTTATGGATCCCTCGATAGATGGCAAAGGAAGTTCGGTAATTGTTACTCCACTTTCTTTTGCAGCTGCCTTTGCTTTTTCTCTTTCGGCTCCAATTTCTTGATACTTTTTCAGAAGTCCAACAGCCCACTGTTAAGTACAGACATAGGATTAATTGACACGGAAATACAAAATGTAAACAAATAAACATTAAATGACTGTTAATTTGCTCAGTATAATGTTCTAAAAGCGAGACATTAGATGGGGAAAGTAAATTAACATAGTTTACAGAAGTCAGTTAGTCAGGATTTCATGCATCTAACATTACTAAAAGTATAAATTAAACTTCTACTGGTAATGTTTATTTCAGTAATAGACGCAGATGCTGAATACAAAATGTGCAAGTAAAGGGTAATAATATACAGGGGAAAATTAACCAATTAGAGCATTCCCTAATGAAATCAGCTGGGAGAATATATTGACTAACACACTTAGCTTGGATTAGGCAATATTAAAAGCATCTTTGAGTATAGTCAATTACACCGTTAAGAACTTGTGTGGGAGGAAGGATTCACAAGTCAGGCAGGACGACACAGGAATTAGTGATTCGAAGATCTATTTAAATTTCTTCAGGCTTATGTATGGTGCTTTAGAGGCACTGAAGTAAAGTTTGGTTCCATCCAGTGACACTTAAAAGGTACATGCTATTTATAAGCCCTATTGAATAATCATTTGGCATCACAAGTGACTGGCAGGTTAAATTTCTCGATTGCTTTCATCTGAATGGCCAGAACGAGCTGCCCACCACCAGGTGGGAACATTGATGGGAAGGGGGGAGGGGGGCTCTTTTGTCATGGTGGGGGTGGAGGGGCTAAGACACTCTGGCAAGATACAGGTACTGTGTTAGATATCTGAACATGGCATCATGGCAGATTCCAACTGTGATAGACTATGTACAATCATTGCAAAATATCAGTGGTTACTTATATTTTTTATTTTTAGGTGAGGCTGTGAATAGAAGCTGAAGAGTGGTGATGTTAGCTCATGCGGCATGTGCTACCCACGGATGCCTTCACAACCTGGAACGCTGTCCACAATTCTGTTTTTTCTCAAGATAGTGTCTGTTTGCTATTGCCCCTAGGCATCATATGGTTGTAATGTTTCCTATGCAGGACGTTTAAATTTGACATTGTACCTAAATACAGGAGGGGGGAGGGGAGAGGGAGGGGGGGAGGAGGAGGGGGAGGAGGGGGGGGAGGAGGAGGGGGGGAGAGGGAGGAGGAGGGGGGGGAGGGAGGAGGAGGGGGGGGAGGGAGGAGGGCAGGGCTGACCTAACCTGGGGATCCTCTCCCCCCCCTCCTCTTCCCCCCCCCTCCTCCTTCTCCTCCTCCTCCTCCTCCTCCTCTCCCCCCTCCTCCTCCTCCTCCTCCTCCTCGTCTCTCCCCCTCCTCTCCCCCCTCTGCAGGGGGGGGGATCTCCCTCTCCCAGGGGGAGGAAGATCCCCCTCCACCCTGGGGTGGGAGTGGGGAAGCAGGAGAGGGGGGGAAGGAGGAGAGGAGGGGGGGAAGGAGGAGAGGAGGGGGGAAGGAGGAGAGGAGGGGGGAAGGAGGAGAGGAGGGGGGGAAGGAGGAGAGGAGGGGGGAAGGAGGAGAGGAGGGGGGAAGGAGGAGAGGAGGGGGGAAGGAGGAGAGGAGGGGGGAAGGAGGAGAGGAGGGGGGGAAGGAGGAGGGATGGGGGGGAAGGAGGAGGGATGGAGGAGAGGAGGGGGGTTGGAGGGGTGAGATTCTCCCCTCTGAGGGGGGAGTGGACCTCACCCTCCCTGGGGTGGGAGGGGTGAGTGAGGGGAGGAGGGGATCTCACCTCTCCCTCTCCCTCAGTGGAAAAGAAAGGAAGAGGGTGAGTGGGGAGGGAGGACCTCCTCTCTCCTTCCCCTCCAGTGGGAGAGTAGGGAGGAGGGAAGAGAGAAAGGAAGGGGATTTCCCCTTCCCAGTTGGAGAGGAGGGAAGGAGTTAGGACCTCCTCTCCCCCCTCCCCCCCACAGTGGGAGAGTAGGGAAGAGGGTGGGCGAGGAGAGGGAGAGTAGGGAATAGGGTGAGGAGAGGGAGAGAAAGGAGGGGAGCGAGAGGATCTCCTCTCTCTCTCTTCCTCCCCCTCCCCAGCGGGAGAGAAGAGGGTGGGTGAGGAGGGAAGGAGAGAAGAGGAGGGAAGAGGAGCAGCAGGGAGTACGAGGGAAGGAGAGAAGAGGAGGGAAGAGGAGCAGCAGGGAGTACGAGGGAAGGAGAGGATGGGTACTTGACTCCAGGAAATATTACCTGCAGATCTTCACGCCATAGCTCCTGCTGGTCCGGACAAATGTGTACAGCTCGTGAAAAGGTTTTGACGGCCTCGGCTACTTCCCCTAAGCCAAGTTGTGCTCTGCCAAGCGTCTGCAGTCCTACCCACCAATTTGGCGATAGCTTCACAGCTTCTTCTGCTGATCTTAGTGCGGGAAACACCTCACCGACCTATAAAGAATACATAGTACAGTACGTGCATATATTGAAAATAATATGGGTGTAAATAAACAATATACGTGTATAGTGCACATAAAATATGATTAATATTCTGATTATGCTGATTTGTCCTAAAAACCATGAGCCCTAGAGAAACAAAAATTATTTTGTGGCAAATCATATTAACCTCTGCAAAACCATTAGCCTCGGCATAAACAGCTGTCATCAACAATGGCCCAAATTATTTTTAACAAACATTTGTGCTATTCGAGTATTTTTCTGTGCCGAGAGACTAATACAGCACAGTACTATATATCTTTAGAGTATTCCACAATTCTATAGGGCTAATCAGAGGATGTTTATTCTTCAGGCCTGTCATTTTTAAATTATGTGTGAATATACTGTAGCACTCTGCCTTGAACCTAAACATTCTGCCATAAGTCACGTACCTGTATATATGCCTGCGACATCATTTCATGAATTGTATGATCGTCTGGTGTGAGGGCAAGAGCGGCACTCCACCTGCCAATGGCTGCCCACCATCGTTCAGCCTCGGCAAGTGTCACTCCTTCGTTACTAAGTCTCCGGGCTTTGGTCTTGACATCCTCTAACTGCAGCACCTGAAATATGAACAAGCTTCATGCTAGCTGATATTACCTTTTATGAGAAACTAATTATCAACTGATGTTTGGTTCCATTTTGTTTTTAATTTATTATTTACAAAATGGAATCAAGTACTTAAGCCAGTTGTGTCTCAGATTTATATACAATATATAGTTACTAGAATCTCTGGGTAACTTGACCAAAACCATGACAGTTTGACTGTCTCTTGATTTGAAGAGAATCCAAAATATGGAACTAACATGTCCCATTAGTTTATATACAATGTATATACTGTAAAATGTTGACCAAACCACACACTAGAAATTGAAGAGACAACGACGTTTCGGTCCATGCTGGACCATTATCAAATCGACTTGATAATGGTCCAGGACAGACCGAAACGTCGTCTCTTCAATTTCTAGTGTGTGGTTTGGTCAACATTTTTCAGTCGTGGTATTGTGACTTTTCATCTATAATGTACTGTACATACAGCAGCCTATGTTAAACTAAAATGTATTCAATTGTTAGTCATTTTTTTTTTTAAATCCAACACTAAATGTAACAATGCCTCTTTCTGGTGGAGCCCTCAGTACATAGCTCTCTACATAGATACGAGATCATACACGTAGGGCCATGATCTATACGTCACATGACGGCCCCTTGTAAGTCACTAAACTCCTACTGGGACCCAAGACAGAATCTGGTCAACTCAATGAGAGAAATATCTGGGGATATTAAATCAACCCAGACCAAAAGGAAATACCAACAGAAAGGCTCCAAAACACACAACTGCTAGGAAAATAATTACAACCCTGACAACAAGAAACACACTAGTCGTTACCACAGCTAGTTAACCTCTCCCTCCATCCTGCCAGGTGGTGAAACTGGATCAGATATGTGCTGCCTAATAAGAACTGAAGCCCCCTGAAAGGGAAAGGGTAGGAATGGGGAGCTACCGAGGGACCCACAAAAAAGAAGTCCTTACATTCATTGCTAAATTTTGGGGAGAGATATTCCTTAGCGGTTTCCCTGAAGCTCTCTCATAATGGTAAACATACCAAAGACAGGACTTATGAGGAGCAGAAGATAGCAGTAGCCCTCAAAGAGGGAAAGATCAGACCATGGTAACCCTACCCAATGCTACTCGAGCACGGTGCAGCCCAGGAACATTAAAAAACATTGTGCCATCTGAACCTTACTGGATAGTCAAAACACACGAGCCCATGTCCTATAGAAAAAGATGGTGGATACACACAAATAATGATGCAACCCAGTCAAACAAACCAAGAGTTAACAACCATAGGAGCCCTCCGAAAGCCAGCCATCTCATTTTTTGCCAGAAAAGAAGGCTGCAAATGAAGAAAACGCTCACCAGGGTCAAAGGAACAACATTCCCGCTTATGAAGGAGCTCCCAACCATACACCTGTCAGCGGGAAACCAACAAAATGAAGGTCTTGTAAAACAGCACGGACTGAAGGCCACAGAAATGGACAAATGGAACATGATTCCATGATTAAGGCCCAAAAGGAGAGTGAGCAGGCCAGAGGGGAAAAAACACAAGACAAACTATAAAATGGCTACAACAAAAAATGTCAATGCTGAAAGCAAACAAAAGTGGCTCTGCCAAAGTCAGATAAGATGCAACCACATATGGCTTAAGATGGCAATCAACAAAACGGCAAGATAAAATCACCAGATTTTAAAAGTAGACAAGCACAAGCAAAAACAAACTGAATTCAAAAAGACCTCGTACTACTGCTGACAAAAAAGCCGCAAATGTGACACCAAAAGATCCACCATACAAATGGCTGTACACCAGACTCAAAACTAAACATGAAGATCGGAGAAAAAGTGTAGATTTGGACAACAGGCTCAAAGAGCTAGACACCACCCTAGAGCTAGCCACCAAAGAGCCAGAAGAATTGCCCTACTCAGAATACACTTCTATCCTGGACAGAATAAGGAGCAGCAGCAAAATTGTAAGGAATAGCTAAAAGAACTCGCACCAACTCCAGTAAACAGGCATCCACCACATGACCTGCAAAAGAGAGGCCACATAGGAAGTTAGCATCCAATTTTATGTTGACACAAAGAGGTTCACCTGAGGATAGTTGAACATCTCTCAAAGCCAAAGGACACAGTGTCAACCAATCATTTTACAGAAATGGTATGGAAGGAAGACAGGTCATCTGTGAGAATGTTGAATATGCAGGAGAACTATGTAGAGCCAAAACACAAGAATCCAGAATACATGTCACTCAGAGAGTCCATTCCCACAGAGAAAGGGGCAGAAATGTCCTCCCCCCCTCTTAATTCTTCTTTGCAATACAATTTATGCAATGCAATAGGTTTTTCTATGACCTACAGAAAATAATACTGTGTTTAACAAGGATAAGTTCCAGCTCCTGCGCTAGGGAAAATGAAAATATAAAAACAGAAACCACGTACAAAACGCAATCAAATCATAACATAGAACGAAAAGGCAATGTAAAGGATTTGGACTCATATCAGAAGACCTTACCTTTAAAGAACACAATAAAGTAGCCATCACACCTGCAAGAAAAATGACAGCTTGGATAACAAGAACCTTCCACACTAGAGATGCTATACCGACGATGATACTTTTCAAGACGCTAGTGCTCTCTAGATATACTGTTGCACAATGACAGCCCCTTTCAAAGCTAGAGAAATTGCTGACCAGGAGAGCGGGCAGAGATTTTTTACTGCTAGAATCCACTCGGTCTAAACTATTGGGACCTCCTAAAATGCCTAAATCTATATTCTCTTGAGGGCAGGCGGGAGAAATAGTAAAGGGGCTAGTCCCAAACCTGCACACAGAAATAACACCACATGAGACCAGAAGATATGACAGGATGTGCAGAATACCCCCATTGTAAAGCAGAGGTGCAATAGGTACTCTGAGAGCGAACTATCAACATCAGAGGCCCAAGACTGTTCAACACGCTTCCACTACATATAAGGGGTATAACTGGCCGACCCCTCACAGTGTTCAAGAGACAACTTGATAAGCACCTTCAAAGAACACCTGATCAACCAGGCTGTGACTCATATATCAGGCTGCGAGAAGCTGTGTCCAACAGCCTGGTTGACCAGTCCAGCAATGAGGAGGCCTGGTCAAGGACTGGGCCACAGGGACACTAAGCCCCAAAATCATCTCAAGGTAACCTCAAGGTAAGGTACGTGCAGTTTGCATGAATGTTGTTCCTCCCAATGAGTGATGAGTGGTAATGTTGAAAGATGTGGCACTCACAGCAGCACATCAACCTCTTAATTCAGACAATGAACCATCAGGAAGCAGTCAGAGTGGAGCTAGATCACAGAACCTGGAGGACAACAAATGTGCCGCAGAGTATGCCATACCACCCTGAACTTGTTGCACTGTGGTCTGTGCCCAATGAAGAGATCCATCCAGTAACCTCAAGAAGCCTGATGAGAGCTGGTCACAAAGCTCTTATACAAGGCTGAGGTACAGTAGTCATAACAAAAGTTGCGTGCAGGAGGAGGAAGGCACCACAAGACATGAAGCCAGAGAGTGATCCTCTATTATCAAAGCCTAGAAGTTGAAATCAAACATGGAGATACCAAACACCCACATTTCTGGAAAGGGCCAGAGCAAGCAGGCAAGCATCTGTGTTTTTGAAGTCCTCTACCTTTCTGGTGGCATTTCCTCTTGGTCTGGGTTGATCTAATATCTCCAGCATCCTGTGCCTCTTTGAGAGGACCAGATTCTGTCTCTGTGTGACAGAATACATGTGGTACTATTCAGACAGCTATCTCCAGGGAGCCAGCGAGAGGTCCCTCCCAGAAAATTACATCAAATATTGCAACAATTAAAAATTGTTAGAAATACATGAGTACTGTATCTGTATTTCCTTACTAAAATAACGGGACCCATCCTGACTGTGTGAGCTAGCCATGCATTTCAACCCTCTTGTGTGATACAAGGTGACATTCTGTATTTGCAGAGTTTCTTTAAATAAAATTTGTCTTTAATACAAACTTAAGCTAATTTTAAGTGAACAAGGTGTAAAGAATTAGCAGCAATCAATGTGAAGCTGCTAATGACCCATGTTATTGTATGAGAACTGAAAATGAGATTGTTCAGAGCATTTATGGTGACATGGGGAAAAGTGAGAAAGCTACAGCACAACCTGCAAGAAGTAATTCCCTATGGCAAGCATTGATCATTTCATTATGTATACCGTAATTCCAAAAGTAAAAGTCCATAATAAATGTTGGGCAAGGAAGTGATCATCAAGGTTGCCAATGGAAAAAATAAGACAGGCCAAAATACATACATATTTGAGATCTGAATCCCGATGACCTTTAACCAGCGAAACCTAAGACTTTACCAATCAAAACCGAGTTTGCCATGTACTTGCACAGTAATTTTACGGAGAGGGAAGTTGATTTAGCTGCTAACAGGAACATTTTATATTTATATTTTCATGGAAATTATAAACATTATTAAAGTATTTAATTTAAATGTGTATGGCACTGCATTCCTATACTGTAGAGAACAAAACAGTAGAGTACTGTACTGTACTGTATTCTAATCTGATTGTTCACGGCAGCTTTGAATTCATCTAAAGTAAATTAAAATTTGTTAGTTTTTTCTTATATCTATGGAAAAGCTGCTATAATTCTGTTATTAATATGCTAAATGTGGAAATACAACCTGGATTGTACCTGGATGGGGTTCTGAAAGTTCTTCTACTCCCAGAACTTGAATTGCCAAGCTTAGTCCAATAGGTTGTTGCTTGGAGCCGTCTACAGGCCCACATATCCACCACAGCCCAGTTGGTCTGGCGCTTCTTGAAGAAAACTATCCAGTTTTCTCTTGAAGAAGTCTATGTTTGTTCCAGCAATATTTTATATGCTAGCTGGGAGGATGTTGGACAACCATGGACCTCTGATGTTTATACAGTGTTCTCTGATTCTACTTATGACACCTCTGCTCTTCACTGGTTCTATTCTGCATTTCCTTCCATATAA